CTTGTGAGGAATAGAGAGACATCGAGCTGATTTTAAACTCAACTTTTCGACGACTTCTTTCTCGTTGCGTAACAAACGCTTGTGTACATACAATACGCCAAGTCACGGACCGCACACACACCGACCACCAAACCGCCCGCGGGCCCAGCCGACCCGCAGTTTGCGATAATAACAACTGGCGCTCTAGCGCCCGGGGTCTCACTTTCAGAACAAATAATTTGTGTTTGAAGTACGGTACAAATGATGACGTAATATGTGCTGTTTGAATGTGTCCTTTGAATATAATGGAGTATTGCACTGGAACTTTTGAACAGTAAAGGGAGGGGGTGAAGCTACCCCACCCCCTCCCTCTCCCTACCCCAAAACCCCCGGTCACTAGACACCTGGACTGGAAGTTATGCAATATGCCCCTGAATGTAGGCAAACACCACATGACCATTCGAGTGAGGGCTTCTGCTGCGGGATAAGTCAAGTCATCTTGAAAATGACATGAGTCTCACTTCTTGTCCGGCGGCCGGGCCGTGGGTGTGCCCCCCCCCCCCCGGTCTCACCTCTACTAACGACTAGTGCGTCCGCGGCAGAGCCTGAGGACGCTGCCGTGCTCAAGGTTGGAGCATATTTGCGTGGCCAAGGTCACGGTCAGTGGCCGTTAGCGGGGCAATCATGGCCCCCATGCGTCATGCGCCCGCGTGCGAAAAAGGAACTTAGAGATTGTGTCTCTCCCGCTGTCAATGTGGGCCTTCCCTCTCACCGTGCGTTTGCTTGTGTTATCGGAGTCGACTTTCTACCCCAGGAGAGCATGGTGGGCTCACCACGTTCTGATTCTGAGGGGGGTTTTGCATCATAATTTGAATCTAATTAATATTTTACATAATTTGTCTCAAATTCTGACGATTAGTGCATAAAATAGTCGTGCCAAACTTTTTTTTTGCCCTGCTCTGATTGGTGCTAAGCGTTTTGTCGTTATCTTATAACATATACGCCAATCTCGTCTTATCAGAAAGTTTTGACGTTCGGCCCTTTAGAATAATCACGATTTTGTGTTCGTGGTGTTTTGCAGGTGTTCGCCGCCCTTGCGGTGCTCGTGGCCGTCGCCCTGGGGGTGGCCGACGCTGCTCGCATTCTGGCGGTGATGCCGATGCACGCCCGCAGCCACCAGATCGCCCTGAGCGCGGTGACCCGCGCGCTGGCCGACAAGGGTCACGACATCACCTACATTACCGGTCTGCCGCAAGGGAACAAAATCAACCCAACGCACAACCACAAGCTTATACACTTTCAAAGCAAAGCGGTATCAAAGGAAGCTGGTAGGTTGTTTCACGACCCCCTCCCCCTTTTCGGCAAAAGATTTAACTTTTTCTTATCTCACCTGTCTTTTTGTTGCAATTACCGCAGATGCCGAGTTGAAGAGATTTTGGGAGAATAAGCGCGGCACCTTAGACCAGATCACGTTCCTCATGAAATGGGGTGCCGTAATTGTCAACGAAACCCTCAGCAGCCCCGTCGTCAAGGCCGAGCTGTACAAGCCTGGCCAGAAGTTCGACCTCGTCATCGCGGAACTGTTCTTCTTCCAAGAGGCGTTCATCACCCTCGGTCACCACTTTAAGGCTCCCGTGGTCGCCATCAACCCTTTCGGCGCTTCACAGTTTATTAACGAACTGTCCGGTAACCCTGTCAATCCATCCTGGGTACCGTCACCATTCCTCGGTTTCTCCGACCGTATGTCATTCATTCAACGAGCAATCAATGCGTTGTGAGTTGCATACTGCAAATAAGGTGTACAGATTATGGTCCCAAAGCGTAGAAGTAACGCGTACTTTTTGTTTCAGTTTGCACGTCGGGACCCACTTGTCGTACTTCTATTACAATCTGCCTCTACAAGAGGAGATCGCCAAGCAGTATTTTCCCGATGTGCCTCATGTGGAGGAGCTGCTCCGGTCGAATCTCGCTCTCACTCTGATAAACAACCACTTCACGCTGGTCTATCCCACACCAATGGCGCCTAATGTCATCGAGATTGGCGGAATCCACATCCCTCAAAAACGCAACCCCCTGCCCAAGGTGAGTGATTCGGACCGTGACACTTCTGCTGCGCTGCTTGGAGATGCACTAGTGGTAAAAAAAATTCTAAGCCATATCTTTGCCAGGGTGTTTGCTTAAATATATTAGTGACGTTGCAATGGTACTAAACCATTAACCCCTTTTAAAGCTTAAACGCATTTGCGTTTCCAGTGTACCCTTGACAAAATAAACCGTTATCGCGTCTGTCTCGTCTCAGGACCTGCAAGATTACCTGGATGGCGCGAAGGAGGGCGTCGTCTACTTCAGCATGGGGTCGAACCTGAAGGTGGAACAAATGCCGGAGGAGAAGAGCAAGGCCATCCTGGGTGCGCTGGGCGCGCTGAAGGAGCGCGTGCTTCTGAAGTGGGACGGCCCCAAGCCGAAAGACCTCTCTCCAAACATTCGCACCATCGAGTGGGCCCCACAAGCTGATCTCCTGGGTAAAAACCCGTGGAATGTACATGTTTTGATGTCAGTGTGTTGTCGCTGATAACGATTTCTTATAACAATTTCCGTCCTCCAGCCCACCCCAACATCCGCGCCTTCTGGACTCACGGTGGCCTCCTCAGCACCCAGGAGTCGGTGTACCACGGAGTGCCCCTCATCGGAATGCCCATGTTCGGGGACCAGGACTTCAACATGCTGCTCGCCGAACAGAAGGGCTTCTGCGTGAAGGTGGACTTCCGAACCATGACCAGAGAGTCCCTGGACGCCACCCTTAAAGAGATCCTGCGCAACCCCAAGTAAGAACTGTCGCTGTGGCTAACGTCGCTACCGTGTGGCTGATGGCTACGATACAACAGTATGCGGGTTGCTGTACAATAACACTGACACTAACTTGTGGGATACATTACTAATTACTTTACCGAAACATGTTAGTCCTTTCCTACTGCCCCCGGCTGGAAGCTGCGACGCGACTGTCCTGTCCGCTCGGCCGAGCCGAGGCGTCCAGCCGTGCCGAGCGCATGGAATGCGCTGACCCCTTGTAGTTTGGGTCTGCCTGTCCGCTTCTCTAGGGCTATAACAGGGCCTCCAATACGCAGCAGTGTTGCGGGTTTGCCTATTCGCTCCGCTCGTAAGGCGCCATGGCCCCTAGGGTAGGCGGGCCTGCAATACGCGGCAGTGTTGCGGGTTGGCCTACTCGATCCGTCCGTAAGGCGCCATGGCCCCTAGGGTAGGCAGGCCCGCAACACTGCCGTGTACTGCAGGACTCACGCACGGACTGAGTGGCCCCCTCTCTAACGACCAATCACATGCTCCCCGACAGGTACAAGGAGAACGCCAGCCGCCTCTCCCGCATCTTCCGGTCCAAGGCGCTGCAGCCCGCCGAGGCCGCCGTGTTCGCCATCGAGCACGTCCTGCAGCACGGCTCGGAGCACCTGAAGCCGTCCAACGTGCACCTGCCGCTGTACCAGCTGCTGCTGCTCGACGTGATCGCGGCCGCGGCCGCTATCGTCCTCTTGCCCCTGCTGCTGTTGTGGGCGTGCTGCAGGGCGCTGTGCTGCGGCAAGAAGAAGGCGGTCGCCACCAACAAGAAGAAGAAGAACTAGACTGAGATCCTCTCAAGTATTCTTGGCTGTGATGATGGGTGCATCGGCACCTCCAGGTACGGGTATCACCACCCACCTTGTACTTCAATCCACTTAACCGATAGGAAGTTAACTAGGCGAAGCGACGCTCCGAGTGCTGCGTTATCAGAGTTTGATCTGGTGGCGGTAGGAGGGCTGACTCATTAGGCATGAAATGTTACTATCCAAACACGTTTATGAGTTGCATCACATTGATGCTGGATTTTTAAATTTGTACTTTTCTGATCAACGTTGGCTGCTTCGGAAGGTCAAATCAAAACCTGTACAATGAAATATTATTTTTAATAAACCGTCCCCAAAACAACAACCAACCAAAAGAAATCATTCATTATTTTTATTTTTATTTTTTTGTTGCTGCAGCCATTTGATGAAAGGGAGGAAAATCGGGTAGACTGATAGTCCCACCTTCAGCTTGTAGACAAAATGCACTGTAAGCTGCTGGATGTTGACCAAAGATCAGTGCTTTTCGCAGGAAATGGTTCACATGTAATCTTTACACTTTATCTCACAGCATCTTTATTTTTATTTTTTTCACACTTACAAACCATATTTCTATGACAGAAGCATAGATACATACACATATCCCGAACTAATTGCACAGTGCAAAAAGCAAATGGAATTAGTTCTGCAGACGAACATACGAGGGGTAACTTTACGGGCCAAGTAATTTAGGATATCATAAACTCTAGATTCTTATTTTATTTCCGGAAGTATCTGAACATTTATTACCTGCTAGAGTTTGTAGAAAATAGGAAATATGATGTCATTAGCATTTATATTCTTTCTGCCCAGCTGATTGTACAACTTCTCAAAAGTTGCATTTCTTCTGAGTGCTTTTGGGTTTTCATTAATTCTCTGTAAGATAATTTATCAGAAACGACAACCATCCACTTCCATTATTTACAAACTTAATATACACATTTTTAGTCAGTACAACATTTTTTCAGGGCTCCGTAACTTATTACTGCCTTTGACATTATTTTATGAGTTGAAGTTATAGTTTGTAACTTTTATTGTAGTCTTTTAGAGTTAAGCTATCTTTTTGACTTGTCCAACTTTTCTCCACAATATCCATGACTAAAATTGGTCATATTTCAAAATCCATAACCAACCTTTACTTAAACATGTGTTTTGTCACATTGAGTAACTAACATTTGTTCATTTTAAGAGTTACGTAGCCCTGCATTTTTTCCCAGTAACTAGGAGTCGAGAGATCGAAATTTGACACGAATTTGTGCATTACACCTATTGCGAGGTGTTTAGGTCCCTGAAAGATAAGCTATGTGGCAAAACATTCATGAATTGTTTGTACCTTATTGAGGGGTTTCTTGAAAGATTTTCTACACTATCTTAAGCGAGGAACAAAGGACAGGAGTCACACATTGCAAGAAATAACAATCACAGATGTAGGCGGCATAGTAAAGCTTAAGTTACGTTAGACGATGTGTTCGGGACTCCGCGACAGGAACCAAACCTCCATTGGTGTTGCTCGTCCCTTCATGGCAACGGGACCGCGGTAGTCTAGTTGGAACTGAGGATCACAGTTGTCCTGCTGGCTCAGTAACCTGTGGGGAGAAATATTTTCTGCATTTAGACCAATTTTCAAGGCGAATAGGGGGATTTCGATACGCTCAGTTCGGCATGGCCACAATGTGGCCAAGCCTGCAGTGCCTTCCCCCGCACTGCTCGTATCTCGCGTCGTGCTTACTTGTATGCGTCCTCGGACACGTTGATCCGGCCCGGCTCTCCCGTGGTCTCCGTGCGGCTGGTGAGGTTCACGGTGTTGCCGAACAAGCAGAAGCGGGGCATCCGGTGGCCGATCACCCCCGTCACCACCTCGCCAGAGTGGATGCCGATGGTGATCCGCTGCAACGAGAGAGGTGTTGAGGCCATGGTATGTAAATCTACCCCCGCACGTGCAATTGGGCCTAGTGGGACGACTGTGGACGACTGTGTCACAGCCTCCCCCAACCGCTCCCGACAATTAATTTTTGTTGCGGGTCCTTTTGGAGAACGTACCACCGGCTTGCCGTCCACCTTGACCTCGCTGCTGAGGTCCATCATGTCGAGGGCGAGGCGGGCGATGCAGCGCGTGTGAGTGGAGCAGGGCTCGGGCAGCCCCGACACCGCCATGTACTTGTCGCCCACCGTCTCCACCTTGTACACGTTGGGGTTCTTGCGCGGGTCGGTGAGCGTGTCGAAGACCGTGTACAGCTGGTTGAGCATGGTGACGATGGACATGGGGTCGCGGTGCGCGGGGTCGGCGCACAGCTGAGAGAAGCCCACGATGCCGGAGAAGAGCAGCGTGACGCTGGGGTATCGGCGCGGAGGCACGGGACGGCCGTGGCGGAGCTCCGTGGCCACGGACATGGGCAGCACGGAGTACAGCAGCCTGCGGAAGGGAAGTCGCCCGTCACCGTTGTCAGTTCACCCGCGCTCCACTCCGCGGCGGAGGCCCCGAAGCCCCGCCCCATCATACGACATGTCACCTACCCGTCCGTCTTCTGCTTCTCCCCTTCCAGCTCCCGGTAGGTCTGCTGCAGTTTGTCGGTGAGGATCTCCAGGTTCCTGGTCAGCTTGTAGTCCGCCTCGAACTGCTCGGACATGAGCACCAAGTCCCGGGTGGCGTCGTGCAGGGGGATATCACTGATGAACAGTCCACGCCTAGAAGCAGAAACATGCCGAAGGTGAGGCCCGCCAACTATGCCGATTGCAGATTTAAATGGTAGTAAAATGAAAAGCTATGTCTCACCTGGTGAGGTCGTCCAGGTTGACGACGCTGGGGTAGGAGAGGAAGATGACGGAGTCGTTCTCGGGGACGTACATCATCTGCCCCTTGAGGCGCAGGTAAGTGAACTCTGGGGGCGTGTCCGGCTCTGCGTTCAGCGCACCTGGCCGAGTCTTGAGCACGTACACCGTGTTGATGTGCGCCAGGATGTTTTCGAACGTCAAGTCCAGGTGGGGTCGCACCTGCGCACGACCAGAGCAGAGGGAACATCAGCGTCATGGAGTGGGCGGAAGACGTGACTTACAGCTCGCGCAGGGCGGCCGACGTGCTTACCGGCTCCAGGACGTCAGTGAGCAGGCATTCCTGCTTACGAAGCGCCGGTATGACCCTGGACACGGCGTGGCCAGCCTGGAGCACCGTAAGGTTCCTGGAGAACATGACGTGGAACGGGAACACCCTGCTGAAGGTGGCCGGGCTAACCAGTGGCTCTGCAAGCAAACGGTGCACAACGGTCACAACCCCCAC